TTTGTGCCTGCTCATATTGACCTGTTTCCAAAATGTGTTTCTATGCTATGTTTTCAGCCTTATTATAAATATTATTTAAGTATTGTGTTCTTGTGAAACCACTTTCATTTCAATCAGATGCATTTAACCTGCCTTTTGAAAGAATATTTTATTTGAATGTCTGTAATGTCGTAGCTAAAAAAATACCAGAAGGATCAAGCTTTTCAGGTATAATGTTGCAAAAGGCCTATTATTCCACTAGCTACTCGTTACTATATGGGCTAAACTGCCAAACCCCTCAAGCTAAAACCTGACTTGACCATCTCAGGGGGGAAAAAAGGCACAATTATAATGATCCTGAAAACTTTTGAGGTTAGTTTAGGAAAGTCCATACCAGATAAGAGTGCAGTTATGGTTTGAGAAGTGTTTTTTAAAGTAGCAGGAAGACGTGCGCCTGTCTCCTGAAGATTCTTTATGAAATACGCCCAGATTCCAGCTCTTCAAATTCATTCTGGGATTGAAAAGCTGAACTGCATTATCTATTGCAGCAACATCACTGAAATTACTGAATATTTTAAATATAAACTGATGCCCTCCTATGGGATAAAAAAAGATATAGTTCAGTGAAACATGTAACAATTATAACGATAGATCTCAAGGAAAAAATCCAGGCATTAGCCCTAATGGCTCTACAGAGTTAATGGGAGAGGCTGGGAATACCATTTATTTCGATGACAAGATAAGCAGTTACAGTTTCCTAAAACTGGTAGAGAGCAGACTTACTGAGTATGCTATCGTTTCTGTTATCATTTTTCACGCCACAATCAAAATTCCACTACTTAAATAATTCTATTTCATTTATTTGACCCATCTAGATAATTAAGATTTTCTGTTGGTTTTTAGTTTTTTCAAGTTTGGAAGTAGGATTTGGGGGGTTTTTTGCTTGCTTCCATGTTTGCTTGGTAGTGCTGACAGTGGGGATTTGCTGCTGCTATTGTTTGGGGATGTGGGTGGTTCTTTGGGTTGTTTTTTAGATGAAGCAGATCGGAATGGACAGTGACACATGCCAGCATGAATAAGGAAGGGGGCATCCTGCAAGAAGAAGCCACAAAGTACATAAAACAACATGCATCAGATTAGACTTCTCTAAATGCCCTTCCTTACAGCAGTGCAGAACGTTCTAGCTGGCAGCTTATCTTTTTAAATTCAGGCGACAGGCATGACCTTAAATATGGGACACTTGGATAGATCGGTGACTGATCGGCCATAAACCCAAAGCAAACCTATCTCTTACCTTCAAAAAATTTTCGCCAAGTGACGTAAAAAGGATAGCACAAGTTATCTCTAGAATAGAGTATAAATCTGTAGTTTTCACCTGACTTCCACTTGCAGAATTTTTTGGACAGGGCCAAATAATTATAGCATTAGTCTGTTAATTTTTCTTGCTGTGATCCTTTTTTCCTTCCAATACAAATACAGTAACTTATATCTGTATTTTTTTAGCACTGCAAATGAGAGCCAGGCAAATTCTATATTACTTAGTTTTGAACTATTTTCTGATTTTTCTTCATGACAATTTAGGACAATTTCTCCTTTAAATCTTTTGAATTCTATCAAAGTTGTAGGTAAATGAGATGTTGGGTACTAAAAAAGGTGGAAAAAGAAAGCGATACTCAATTCGATGAATATAGTTTGTAATAACATCCAGCATAATGGGTTACAAACAATTATAACTATGTGATTTAAAAACAGAATCTCAGGCTGTGAAGATAAAAATACAAACACATCATTTCAGGAACATCAACACCTATTGATGTTCATGGTCCATCTTATTGTATATGATTTTAAGAAAAGAGAATGCCTGGTCCCTACCACCTAAAATATTCACAATCTTTAAAAGAAAAAAAAAAAAGTACATTTAAAGGTACATTTAAAAGGCAATGGAGAGAGAATATGCATCGAGAAAAGGAGAAAAACAATTATCATAAAAATCATCTGAAGGCTGATTTACTTCTCTCCTTGTAGATAAATGTGAATATAACATGACTATAGTTCAGAATATGAAGAAATAACAACAAAAAAAGCATTAAGGTCTTTCCCGAATGCTTTTAAATTAACATGTAGTTACATTTTGACCTCCTTAAAGTGTAGGCAAAAGGCCCTCCTATCTCTTAAAAATATTGTGTATGGCTCCTGGCAGGTTCAACCTGATAGGTTCAAACCCACAGGCTGCCATAGAAGCAAACAATATTCTTCTGCTCAGTGCTCATTTTTATATGCCCACAGTTATAACTATTTATAATAATTGACTGATCTTTGTTGCTAAAGATACTTATTGCATCCCTTTTATTTATTCCTGTGCCCTCCCAAGGTACTCAAGATCCATATTTTAGCATATCCAGTTAGTGGACAGAGGTGAACTGGAAGTGACCCAATGGTCTGGCTTTCGTAAGTAATTTCCAGCCTAGGCATTGGTTACAAGCCCCAGGTAAGGGAATATCTGCACCCTGCTGTCTTGCTGGTACTATGGGTTGGCATTTTTTCCTGTGTATATTTCACAAGCTCAGTAAATGTCAGTGGGTTAAAAGCAAAGACCAAGCCTTCTGGGGCTTTAGCCTGCAATGTGCACAACACAAAATGTTCTCCATAACCTGTGCTGATGGTGCACTCAGGCACCAGCAACAGAAAAGCTACTAACACATTGAAGAGGAAAACAGCAAAGAGGGGTTGAGCAAAAAAAATCGGGGAGCACAGCTTGAGGGGGAGACTGTGAACTCTCTCACTGAAACTAAAACCGTTCTTGAACGGCCCCTGTCTTCTAGGCATATTCATCTGCCGAGGGCGTGTTAAAGGCCTAACTGGGCATATAAACACCGGGCGAAGCCTCCTGCTTTGGAGCGGGTTGCGTTGCGAGGCTGGGTTTGAAGGGCCCCGTGCGAGCGGGAGGGCTCGAGCGTTTCCTTGCGCGGGTGCACGGGGGCTGCGGGCTGCGGGCTGAGCGGCAGGTTTGCCCCGGCTCCATCCTCCACCTCTCGTCTTCGCCAGGGCCAGGGAGGCGCGGTCGGGGCGGGCTTTCGGTGACGGC